CTGAGTCATTTCCAGCCGCACCTCGAAGCTCCTCAGACCTCCTCCATCCCAGCACTGACAAGAGTGAATCCCTCAGAGCTCCACCACATATCATCCCTCAGACCTCCTCCATCCCAGCACTGACAAGAGTGATCTCTTCAACCTTTCACAGCGAGATAAGATCGCTGCCTGAGGAGTAGAGCTGCCACAGACGGGATTACCTCAGCATTGCTTGTTAAAGGCTAGGGACAGAATGAGGAACAACGACACTCCCTCCATCCCTTTGAAGGGATGCCTCCACATAAAATGATGACACATGGGAGCAAAACAAGCACACGTGCCAGCCAGCAGGAAAGGCTCAACCCAGAGGTATCTTTCTTTGCCATCATTTTGACAACGGAGGGAGAGAGAGATGTCTGYAGGCACTGTTACTAACAAATAGAGCAGCACTTCAAAACAAGCCTGAGCTATGGTGTTTAAAAATGCAGGAACAGGACACAGCTCTCTCCATGCTGCTCTGGCTCTGTGCCTCACTGTGGCATCCGATTTTCAGCAAATCATCCATTCAGCCAACCAGAGTTTGCCAAGGACCCACACTTGGAATAATTTTTGTGGGTTCACAATGAAAGGGTAACTRCCAACATATTTGTTGCCAGTTAATTGGAAAGGTCACACACCAACAAGGCCGCTCCCAAGGAAAGCTACAAAGTGTTCTCACACATATTACAACATTGAAGAAAACATGACAAGGATGGTAACGTGGGAAAATAAGACATTAACAAATTAAGTCTTAAATTCAGCTCTCAGCGCTACCACATATTCAGCATGTGTTCCTGGGGGARCAATTTAAATTTTCCTGTGCTTTGTGCTAATATTAAACTTCTGCATCACACCCAAGTAATTTAAACAGACACACACCCCACCAACCTCATTCTACAGTGCCATGCTCCCACTGATCAGTGAATTAAGCACAGATGCCAGCCCATTAAAGAGATTCTGAGAAAGAAGAACAAACCCAGACTTGTACACGATGTAGCTTCATCAGTCTGTATTATATTACATTGCCATTTATTTTATTAGGTGTGTATCTTTAAGRTGATGAATTTAGCTTTTGAAGCAAATTCCATCTTTAGGATTGTTTGGTGGGGTCTTTTGCATCCAACAAGCGAGTCTTAAAAAATGCTTTGCCTTTCAGGTGCCACTCCTTCAYACATCCTCACCTCAGCTTTGGCAAAAGCAAGTCCACTTAAGCATCCAGATACTGATACGTGATTAAAAGCCAGCAGTTAAYCAAGGAAACAATTTTCCTTTGATGAAGCAGTACAGACTGACCCACTGCCAGACACACGTAGATGCTGACACAAGACAGGTAAAARCCGGTTTATTTCTCCTTGCCACACTTCTGACTTCTACTGTGAATTTGCTGCAGCCTATAAACAAAATTTCATAAAAGTGATCATGGGGCAGCAGCACATATTCCCCCTTCTGCCTGCATTCAAACATGATCAAGTTTTTCCATGTCACTTCCCAGGAAGATAAAACTCCATCACAGAGTTTCATCTCAAAACACAGTGTTTGGAAAACTAGGACCAACTAAAAACAGSAAGATAAAAATGAACAAGCTCTATTAGGACAAAACACAACGCATCACAGCAGAGAATAATTTATTTTCATACASAGAAATTTTCCCTGAACCCCACTGACAGCACTATCATCAGGATGCCAGCTTTCCCCACCTAACATCCCCTCCATCCCCTCATTAAATAACCTTCCCCGCCAATTTACTGGAATGTGCACCCAAAATCCGAACACAACAAAGCTTTTACAYTGCAGCGAGCAACTATCATTGCCCTCAAAATTAGAGCTCAGGTATTTGTTGCTGATGCAAATCCAGTACAGGCTCAGTTCCACACATCAGATACCCCAATCACAGAGAGGGTCTGCTCTTCGGGAAGAGAAATGTAAATAAACATTAGTTTCCTGAATTCTTCCATACAGTCCATCCTAAGTGTGGCAGGTTAGGAAGACAGCTACAACTACAACTCTTCAAATTCTCTGTTTCAGGAAAAAAAAAAAAATTGGAAGCTGCAGACAAGTAAATTAGAAGGGTCACAATAATTCGCAAGAGCGAGGAAAAGGCTGAATCAGAGCCTCCCGGGTTGTGTTGCTCAACCTTTTCACCCACATCAAGGGGAAGCCTCACCCTGCCCAGCAMAGGACAGGCAGTCCTGCCCCACACRGGAGCTGCAAAGCAACAAAAACCCCCGCCCTGCCCAGCACAGCGCCCCAAAAATGGCACAAAGGCACCCAAAGCTCTTGTGCAACACCACA